GTGATGGATAGCCCAAACCAATGATTTGAAGCGCGCGTAGAACAATTCCAAATCTCGAAGGACCAAGTTGCAAATCGGCTTATGAAATTTCTGCAGATGCATCAAAATCTTCGAGATTATCGGGTGCACGCGCAACTATCCAGTGACCTTGTGGAGCATATGTAGACCCATATTGAAAAACAAAAAGCTAATATTTGAGGTGCACTTAATATAAATTTATATAAGAACTATGTATTTTCAATACTAACATTTGTTATTTACGTGTAATAATAACGTGTATGGATTTGCATGTATTTGAGATCCGAATTTATGGTATGTAACTACTAGGCAGGACATATGAAAGGCGATTCGACTGTGTCCGCGGGCATGATCACACACGTCCGCAGACATATATAGAGCCGGATTTATCAAGTCTCTCGGACACCACATAAAAATTATTGTTCGCATTGGCTGCGTGGATGCATGTGTGCCAAGTATGTCAGTACTACTGTACAAGGGTCCGACGAAACACGACATCTCTTTATTCATGTATACTTTGAAATCGCCTGAAAATATATTTTGGGTCAGTCATTTTTGACGGTTGAGTTCTGCTTTGAGATCAGTGTTTTTGTTTCTAGTCTATTCTTTGAGCAGTTTGTTTTGACCGACCACATATTTGGGCCAGTCAATTTTTTACTGGGCTGAAACCCATTACATGTGCCACCCAGCCATCCCCTCTCCGCTTTTGTGTTTTTAATGTTTTCCTGTTTTTATGTGTTTCTATTTTTTTACTTTATTAGCTGGTTTTTTTCTTTTCTTTGTGGGTATTTGTGAGATGTTGGGTTGGTGTAAATATAGAAAAAAGTAGTATACAGTATGTCAGAAAATTACAACATTATATGATTGTTGTTTGCATAGTGCAGAAAGTGCAATCTTAGTGCAAAATTGTGTGGAAGTTCGTTTTAATTTTTTTCATTATCTTTCTTCTTAAAGATTAATACTAATGCCACTAATTCATTGTTCCTAATAAATTTTTTGTTATTTTGATATAGTTATTATATTATTATATTTATTATTTAATATAATACCGATGCCACTAAGTTGTTTCTTCTCAGATTTTTTTTTTGCAAAAACATCTACTATCATATGCTTATTCTTGCATATTTAAAAAATAATATTTTTGTGTTTATATTGTGTGTAAAATTTGTCATCATTTCTTTTAGATTTCTTTCTCATTTTCTTTGTACTTAACAGGTAATACCAATGGCACTAATTCATTCTTCCATTGAAAACCTCAATATATTTTGTTTTTCTTCAGAATTTATTTATTTTCAAAAGCGTAATACCAAAGCCACTAATTCATTATTTCTTTGAAAACTTCATTTCTTTAATGGTAATACCAATGTCACTAATTTATTCCTTATTATGAAACTTCCATTTGTTTTACAAAAAATCCACTATTATATGCTTATTCTTCCATAATATAAAAGGTGCAATTTATGTGTAAATTGTGTGCAACTTTTGTCTATTTTTTTTTCATTTTCTTTCTTCTTAAAGGATAATCCCAATGCCACTAATTCATTCTTCCATAGAAAACTTCATGATTTTCATTTTTTAGTTTTTATTTTATTTTTTCTTTAAGGGTAGTACCAACATCACTAATTCATCCCTTCTTAGCAAAAATTCTTTTTGGTGAAAATTTTACTATTACGTGGTTATTCTTGCAAGCAATGTCATTCATTAATTCCTTTTATAAACTTCATTATTTTTATTTTATTTTAATTTATACTCCCTCCGTTCCTAAATATTTGTCTTTCTAGAGGTCTCAAATGGACTATCACATACAGATGTATATAGACATATTTTAGAGTGTAGATTCACTCATTTCGCTCCGTATGTAGTCACTTGTTAAAATATCTAGAAAGACAAATATTTAGGAACGGAGGGAATAGTTCATTTACTTTTTCTTTAGGGGTAATACCAATGCCATTAATTCATTCATTCTTACCTGTGAGAAAAAAAAATCAGTCCTTCTTAGATTTTTTTGCCAGAATTTCATACTGTATGCTTATAGTTTCATGTTATAAATAGTGCAATTTATTTATTAACTGTGTGCAAAAATTTTCTAATGCCAATGCAACTAACTAATTCCTTTTTCAAAAACTTCAGTTTTTTAGTATATTAGTATAGGGGCAATGAGAAGGCCAGAGGTTATGTTACACATATTATTTTTCTTTTTAAATTTGTGTTTGTTTATTTTAAGGTAAATCCACTCCCATGATTCTTTTTTCCTTACAAAGAAATTTGTTTGCCTTTGTTCAAATTACCATGTCCTATCTGCAGCGATGTGGGAAAAACATTAGTCCAGAGGATACACATGCACCATGTACAAATAATGTTCATGATAGCTAGCTCTACTGCTATGATCTGTTCGTGCTAGCTCCGGCACACCAGGGCCAACCCAAGCTAGCTAGCTCACGAGCATACAGTCGGAGCTAGCTAGCTAATGCACGCACACGGCACACGGCACGCCACACCCTCACGCACGCACGCACAGGGCACATCACACTTCGTTGCATGAAAAAAAAACTAACGGACCCAAATTTTATTTCCAGTAACTTACCTCTAACTGGTCCCATTCATGGACGATGATCAAATTTCGCACAGCAGGAAGCAAATGTTCCTCAAAGAAGATGTGATTCTCTTGATTCATTCATGCAATCTCCGACGACCAGCGCTCACAGATCAACGCACGCATACACACATAGACATATATACTCACACGGAATCGTGCATCCAGTATTGACAAAAAGATAGGTACGGAAGAAAATACTACTACACGGTGAATGAATAAATAAATCGGAGAAATGCACTCGCTTTATTAGTAGATGATAGACCTAATAAAATAAATAGATATAGATAGACAGAATAGATAGATATAGAGCTCGAATCAAACTCCCGGTCATGCCGTTTCTAGCTCTGCTGTTTGCAGTGGTCTGAAAATAGCAGCAATGATGATGACGATGACTAATAGGTTGATGGATTTTTTTTTTAGAAAGGAGGCGTTTGCCCGGCTTTAGAGAATTCAAGCCTTAAGAGTCCGTTTCCGAAGACTAGTAAAATAGGCGGATTCTGGAAGGTTCAATGGTACGTATATGGATATAACATAGTTCGACAAAGCAGGGAACCGATGGATTGATGGATGCAAGAACATCTAAAAGAAATGGTTTGACGCAAGCAAGAGCAAGCTTGAGAGAGGCTGAAGCAAATCGATCGAATTCACGGAGAACCGAACCGAACTGATGGAGGAGTCTTCCTTTCCATCATCTCTTTGGCCATCAATCATCAGAAGGACACCACATAAAAATTATTGATCGATGATCTCACAAAGCGGGGAACGGATCTTACTCATAAGATGATGCGATTCCCTTTATTCATTCATGAAATCTCTGACGACTAGCGCTCGCAAATCAACACACGCATACACACATAGATATATAGATCTACTATCGTTCAGCTAATATCACACACAGGGAATCATGCATCCAGTACGCGAGAACAAAGTAGCCAGGGCCATCTAGGCAAGGCATCTAGCAGTCCTTGGTGCAGTGGCAGTGGCGCTGGACGCCGACGCACTTGCCGGCGGTGAAGCCCTCGGTCTGGCAGACGTTCGCACAGTTGGTGTCGCTGAAGCACGCCCCATGGAACTTGTGGCTATCCGACTCGCAATCCCTCGCCAGAGCCACCTGCACCGATCCCCCCTGCTCCTCTGCACCACCAAAATCAACAAAGCATGCAGATCAGTCGTCATCTCACGCAATTTTAGCAGAAGTAGATCATCAGTTATCTCAAATAATTTTGACGGTAGGCATGCACATAGCATACCCGTGGCGACGAGAAGCAGCAGGAGGACCACGAAGACCTTCGCGGACAGACCCATGGCGGTTCCTTGTGAAGGATGAAGAGGATTGTATGGTAGAATGTGAAAGCCTTGGAGCTGGGTTCTATGGTAGATGGGTGTAGAGGAGAGGGGAGGGGGCCTTGTTATATAGGAGTATTTCCCGTTTGGCAGCGTACATTGCTTCTATTTTCTTGGCATTAATTTTGTGCTGCTTCCAGCCTTCCAGGCTAAGCAAATAGATTTTTGTCAGGTAGTGTAACTGACAATGTGAAAATGGACACGCTAAGCAAACCATTTTTTGTATGATAGTGTAACTGACATGTGAAGATAGAAACACACAATTTTTGTATGGCAGTGTGACAAACTTGTGGAAACACACAATTAAAGGCTGTAAAAGGACACGTGAAAGTGGAAAAGGTGGTCATCTCTTGTCCACATATCAGCCACTGTACGTACTAGACACTCGGTTATGGTTGCAAGATGGATTCAAGTGCCCTGCAAGTTCTCGTGGCAAGGTTTGGCCGTTTGGGTGTCGAATGGTGTTGTTGGGTTTTGCATGCTGCAGCACTCGTCATGTTCTCATGTTCTCACTAATGGTGGGCTGGTCGCCCTACGGAGCACATCTGGCACTGGAAAGGTTTGCGTCAAGGTCAAGAGGCGATGAAGAGGATGCAAAAACATCTACGGAGCACATCTGGCACTGGAAAGGTTCTCACTAATGACTGTTGGATTGAAGGATGCAAGAACATCTAAAAGAAATGGGTTGACGCAAGCTAGAGAAAGCTTGAGAGAGGCCGAAGCAAATCGATGGAATTAACGGAGAACCGAACCGACCCGATGGAGGAGCCATCGATCCTTCAATCATCTCTTTGGCCATCAATCATCAGATGGACACCACATAAAAATTATTGATCGATGATCTCACAAAGCAGGGAACAGATCTCACTCACAAGATGATGTGATTCCCCTTATTCATTCATGCAATCTCCGAGGACCAGCACTCGCAGATCAACGCGCGCACATACATAGACATATAATAGATCTACCATCGTTCAGCTAACATCACATGGAATCATGCATCTAGTACGCGAGAACAAACTAGCCAAGGCCATCTAGGCATCTAGCAGTCCTTGGTGCAGTGGCAGTGGATGCCGTCGCACTTGCCGCCGGTGAAGCCCTCGGTCTGGCAGACGTTCGCGCAGTTGGTGTCGCTGAAGCACGCCCCATGGAACTTGTGGCTATCCGACTTGCAATCCCTCGCCAGAGCCACCTGCACGGAACCCCCCTGCTCCTCTGCACCGCCAAAATCAACAAAGCGTGCAGATCAGTCATCATCTCACACAATTTTAGCAGCAGTATGTAGGATGCATCATCAGTTTTGTCAAATAATTTCGAAGGTAGGCATGTATACATACCCGTGGCAACGAGCAGCAGCAGGAGGACCACGAAGACCTTTGCGGACAGACCCATGGCGGTTGCTTGTGAAGGATGAAGAGGATTGTATGGTAGAATGTGAAAGCCTTCGGCTTCGAGCTGGGTTCTATGGTAGACGGATGTATAGGAGCGGGGAGAGGGGCTTGTTATATAGGAGTATTCACCTCGTCGCAGCAGCATTGTTCCTATTTTTTAGCATTATTTTCGTGCTGCTTACAGGCTAAGCAAATAGATTTTTGTCGGGCAGTGTAACTGACATGTGAAAATGGACACGCTAAGCAAACCAATTTTTGTATGATAGTGTAACTGACGTGTGAACATAGAAAGAATAAGCAAACATTTTTTATGGTAATGTGACAAACTTGTGGAAACACACAATTAAAAGCTGTAAAAGAACATGAGAAAGTGGGAAAAGGTGGTCATGCCTTGTCCACATATCAGCCACTGTACAGTATGCTAGACACTTGGTAAAGGTTTCGAGATGGATACAAGTGTCCTACAAGTTCTCGTGGCATGGTTTGGGTGTCAAATGGCGTTGTTGGGTTTGCATGCTGCTGCACTCTTCATGTTCTCAAGTTTCCATCAATGGTCACCCTACGGAGTACACCTGGCATTGGAATGGTTTAGGTCAAGGTGAAGGCGATCCCCTCTATCCTCTATTATTTGTGATTGTCCTGGATGTTTTAGGAAAGCCTTTCTCACTTGCGGAGGAGAGAGATCTGCTACGGCCTTTCATTGCAGCATGCTACTAGGCATCACCTCTCTCTGTTCGCTGATGATGTTGGTTTGATCATCCAACCATATGCTCGAGATCGACACCACCGTTGTCATTCAGGATCTGGTCTGAGATGCTTCCAGGCTCTGTACAATTCTTTAAAAAGAGCGCCGCAACATTGATTCGTTGTGACTATTATCCCAGAGACATTGCCTCGGCTCTGTTCGTATGGATTCACTGTTTTTCCCTGTAATTTGTTTTGGGACTGCCTCTTGTGCTTTCTTTCTTAAAAAAGTCTGACCTTCAGCCGTATGTCAACAAAGTGACGTGGCGGCTTCAGTGCAGGAAGGCTAGTCTGTCATTTTATGCCGGTTCAGGCGGTACTTGCGGCTATGTCAATCTATGCGATGATGGCAATCGAACTCTCCAAATGGATGATTGCGTCTACCATCACTACAACATCATCACCCCAAATCTATTATGACTGCAACGCCGCCGTCTCGGCGGGAGTCTTGTTTGCTAGGATTAAATAGGAGGCCTCGCATGGGCTAAACACCTCAGTAACATATTGTTGCAAGAATGATTGTTGTAATTTTTAGAGAAAAGGTTGAGGCCCGACTTTAAATTAATAAAGCCAACAGTAGTTCAACAGAGTTCAGCAAACACCCATGGCAGGTAGAAAGAAACCTATGGAAACAAGTTCCAAATGACTAGCAGGCCACAACCAGTAATGAGGCATGCAGGCCAAAGGAGATAACCAGAAGCACGACAGAATGAAGACGGCGACGTAGCACCATCCCCAACTACATCTGGCCCGACCCCTGACCAAGACGGAGTTCATCGTTGTCCGCACGCGAGAGTCAGGAGCTCCACAGCCGCCACGTCATCGCCCTTAGTTAGAGATGTCCACTGCTGCAATAAAATAGAAATTTTAAAAATGCAGTCAACCGGCTTGTTAGGGAACACCTGCTCAATGGTAAATTTGTTCCTGATGGCCCACAACGTCCAACACATGACAGAAAAGCCAACCCAGAAAACCCGCTTGACCCAACCCACTAGATTAGAGACGAGGGATCAAAGCTCACCAAAGCAAGTGGGGGCCCAAGACACCGGCCCCAAGCCAGTCCCTAAGACAGCTCTAGAAAAGCAAAGCAAGAGGGCACCGAAACATGATATGATTAGTATCTTCGGGATGTCCACAAAGGGAGATGAACTCGGAGCGGGGCCCATTCCTTTTCCTAGTTTGATCCGCGGCTGGTGACCACCCGCGGATCCCCTGCCACATAAAAAATTTAATCTTGGGAGGAATACGAGCCTTCCACACAGAACGCAACCTATAAGAAGGAACACCAGAGATCAACTGGCGATAACAAGACTTCACAGAAAACTGGCCAGATGACGAATGATGCCAAGAGACCACATCTGTAGATTCCAAGAGCACATGGAAAACGACAGCAAGACGGTGCCAATCATCCAGCTCTTTCGGAGACAGGGATTGGCGAAAACCGAGATCCAACTGTCTGGCCGCGACCTCCGCGATGGAGATCGAGGGGAAGGCAACAAAAGAGAAAATAACACGGAAGGAAATCGCCAGGGGGCCATCCCCTTTCCACCAATCCAGCCAAAACCTAACAGACGTACCATCGCCAAAATTTAACAAGAGCTCTAAAATCATCTCGAACTTTAAGGAGTCGACTCCAGAACTGACAACCGCCTGACGCAGACACCGATAGAGGGTTGGAGGATGGGAAGTACTTAGCCTTGAGAACGCACAGCAAAAGCTCACTAGCGTCGGCCATAAGAATGCACCACCACCATTTAAGGATAAGGCATTTGTTCATAATAGAGGTGTCCACAATACCCAACCCGCCAAGGTTTTTTGGCCGACAAATCACCTTCCACTTAACCATCCTATACTTCTTTTTGTTATCTACGGAGTTCCAAAAGAAACCGCCCCTATGTTTATCAAAGCCAACGTGAATACCTTCAAGGAGACGGTAAAAGCCCATAAGAAACATAGGAAGGGAAGAGAGACACACATTTTTGAGACACACCTTAGTAGCCATCGTGTTGTAATGACTCCTCCAGGGCATGACTCGATTACCAACCTTGGTAACCGAGAACGTAAAGTCTTTGGCAAGCTGTTTGAGGGGAGAGATCGGAAGGACAAGGTAATTAAAAGGAAAGGACCCAAGTTTGCAGTTTCAAAGGTTAGTTACCCTGCACGCCTCCTTAGCGGGGGCACCCAAAACTAGAACTTCACTCTTAGAAAAATTAACCTTAAGCCCGGAGAGCTCCTCGAAGGAGAAAAAGAGGAATTTAAAGTTCGCGATCTATCGGTCAGAGTTCTCAACCAAGATGATAGTATCATCAACATATTGCAAGTGCGAAACACCAGGCAGGATCAGGTGGGAGACAACCAGGGAGATATGGCCCGTGGCAGCAACACGGTTGAGAATGCAAGAGAAGGCATCATCCACGAAGTTGAATAGTATAGGGGAGACATGATCCCTTGTCTAAGGCCCCTGACATTTTTGAAGAAAGGGATGACCACCCCCATTCACATTCACAACCATGTCCCCCCCCCACAAGGGGGCACACAAGTTGCATGAGGCGGTGCATGTCGGCGTCGTCAAAGCCCTTGGCCAGAAGTACGTTGCGAAGGAAAGACCAATTAACCGAATTATATGCTTTTCGAAGTCCAACTTGATGATCACCGTGTTACACTGCCTCGATTTAAGGTCATGTAAAATTTCATGTAAACTAAGAAAGCCATCCAAAATGAAACACCCTTTAATAAAGGCCAATTGCTGCTTCCCTATGACCTTGTGAGTAATGTAAGACAACCTAGTCGCGAACCCCTTCGAAGGAAATTTGGTGATGTTATTAATCAGGGCAATCGGTCTAAACAGCCATATGTTATCCACACCCTTAACTTTGGGAAGAAGAGAGACCATGTCATAGTTAAGTATAGATATAACAACCGTGCCCACGCAGAAGCCAGTAATAATAACGTAGACAAGGTGGTTGAGCGAAGGCTAGAAATTTTTAAAGGAAGACATGCATATGTACCGTATGGGTAAGTGAAGGTAGTTTTTCTTGGTTTTCAGGTCAGATATGTATTTGCGAAAATCCGGAATATCCATCGAGATAGAAAAATAAGAGTTGTTGGCCAACCTGTCCAATATCTCATTTATAAAGGGTAGTAGGTAGTGATCTTTCCGGGTCCAGTTATTTCATTTCCTTAAAACAACACACATTCTATATCCAACAATAGCCCTAGTAGGGACTGTTGGGGAACACAGTATTTCAAAATTTTACCTACGATCACGCAAGATCTATCTAGGAGATGCATATCAACGAGACGGGATAGTGTGTCCATGTACCCTCGTAGATCGAAAGCAGAAGCGTTTAGTAACGTGGTTGATGTAGTCGAACGTCTTCATGATCCAACCGATCCAAGTACCAAATGTACAGCACCTTCGTGTTCAACACACGTTCAACACAATGACGTCCCTCGAGCTCTTGATCCAGTTGAGGACGAGGGAGAGTTCTGTCAGCATGACGGCATGGCGATGGTGATGATTAAGGTACCGGCGCAGGGCTTGGCCTAAGCACTAGGACGATATGACCAAGGTGTGTAACTGTGGAGGGGGGCACCGCACACGGCTAAGAAAAGACTTGGTGTCTCTTTGGGGTGCCCCTGCCCACGTATATAAAGGAGGGAGGGAGAGAGGTCGACCCTCCTAGGGGCACGCCAAGTGTAGGGAGTCCTACTAGGACTCCCAAGTCCTAGTAGGATTCCCTTTCCTTTTCGGAGTAGGAAAGAAGGAAAGGAGGGAGAGGGAGAAGGAAAGGGGGGGGGGGCGCCCCCACCCCTTGTCCAATTCGGTTTGGGCAGGGGGGAGGCGCGCGCTACCTCGTGGCCCTTCTTCCCTCTCTCCACTAAAGCCCAATAAGGCACATTAACTTCCCCTGGCGAATTCCCGTAACTCTCCGGTACTCTGAAAAATACCCGAATCACTTAGAACCATTCCGATGTCCGAATATAGCCTTCCAATATATTGATCTTTACCTCTCGACCATTTCAAGACTCCTCGTCATGTCTGTGATCTCATCCGGGACTCTGAACAAACTTCGGTCATCATATCACATAACTCATAATATAAATCGTCATCGAACGTTAAGTGTGCGGACCCTACGGGTTCGAGAACTATGTAGACAAGACCGAGACACATCTCCGGTCAATAACCAATACCGGAACCTGAATGCTTATATTGGCTCCTACATATTCTACGAAGACCTTTATCAGTCAAACCGCATAACAACATATGTCATTCCCTTTGTCATTGGTATGTTACTTGCCCGAGATTCGATCGTCGGTATCATCATACCTAGTTCAATCTCGTTACCGGAAAGTCTCTTTACTCATTCCGTAATGCGTCATCCCACAACTAACTCATTA